ATCCCGTACCCGTCACTGAGACTAGAAAAATCCCCCGAAGCCCTCTTTGGAACTGGAAAAGTTCCACAAAAGCTCCCTTAACGGGATTTCCTTTGCCCCCCCCCCCAAAATAAAAAGTTCCTATGATTCCGCCTATGTCTTCGTGTAATTTTCTTTAGGTTTTACCTGCGGCAACTCTCCGCAGTAGGTTGTATTTATTTTGTGCGATATACACATTAATTCGTGTTGAAAATTGAGCTTTTAAAGCTCTAAGCCCTTCGAGAGCATTAGCCGTATTTCTTGGGTGCAATAGACCCATTAATTAGCGTTCTGAGTTGAGCTTTCGAGGTTCTAAGCCCTTCGAGCGCGTTTCGCTCAACATCCGAAGCTGACCCTGAAAAGGTCATTACAAGGGACATTTATAATGTGATAATATGCATATGAAGTGTCCCTTTCTATTATAAAGACAATCGACGAGGGCGTAAGATTGAAAATTGAATGCTGAGAATCAGTGGCAATTCCTGCTAGTTGGCAACACTGTTTTTTCCTCCATTTAAATCCATTGAAAATATCGATTTTAGGTGAGGCACGCTGCCGCACCGAGAATAGATTGTTGCGCATGCATTTAAATGGAGGGAAAACAGTGTTCTCAACTTACAAAATCGCCACTGCAAAGAACTATCATAACAGTTCTCTGCGTATTAAGCCTTAAACCGACGGGTAGTCGCCTGATTGCATTTTTTAATCAACTTTTTCACTTTTACTTACTTCTTCAGTTATTTTGTCACGCTTCATAAAATTTTACACTCCGCGTTTAAATATTATTCTGTACAATAATAATTCATCATATGAGTAAAAACTTGTCAACCGGAACCTCCCGTCAGCCGAGCGGTTGGCAACGTCATTAACTTCTCAAATGAGGCTTTCACTCAGAAACTATTGCCAAATTTTGATGAAAATTGGCGGAACCTTCTGCAGGCCAACGAGATTGTTATCAGAAACAAACTGATTGGTCAGTTGGTTGTCGCACGCTTTGAGGGTTCACTTTTGGTCCCCCAACCCAGAGTTAACAGTAACACGCCAATATCGTCGCGTGCCAGACAAATGGATGTATTCCCATTGCAAGGTTGTAAAATTAGACCGAAACATTTAATTTATTACTTGAATATGACAGGAAATTTCATTCAAAAATACATCCCCTGGTAGAAATTGGCGATTAGAGCTGCGTTTCAAAATACCATAGGAATTCTTATAGCCGGTTAAAGAAGGCTACAGAAAATCATATAGCTGGATGTAGAATGCGGAGAAAATCATACGGCCTGGCTATACGAAGCGATAAAAAATTATGCAGCCGGGCTATAGTTCCTATAGCCGGGCTTCACACTTTATCGCCTGGCTGTTGCTTTTTCGCCATCGATTGTAAAAGGCTATAAGAAATTGTGCAGAAATTCGTGTGCTTTGGAAATCATTAAGTTTGATACGGAACCACCTTAATATTTACAAAACACACGTTATATTTTCCTTTAATACACATTTTTTTCATCAATTAAAACGAGAATAATCCATACAGGATGTGCAAATATTTCAAAATCATGAGTTGAATAACGCTGACTCCGCTAGATTAAATATTAGAGCCTAACTTAAAGCGGAGCGGCGACGCACTGGCGCCTACAAACTTAACAGGGATACTTCACGCATTGCGCAACGCGTGAAGTATCCCTGTTAGGTTTGTAGGCGCCAATGCGTGTTTCGCGCCGCGCCGCAGCGTGCCACGGCGCTTGAAGCAACTATTTCACACCAGAGGTATTGCACAGTATCATACGAAACTGAAGGCGCTCTAATACATATAATAGGAATGGCAGGCATCCATCAAAAGTACGGGGCTTTCCTTGCAAAATAAATCGAGATACTGCGGCCCAAAATGAGAGCAGTGGTCAAAAAACTCACCAAGTCCTAGCATCCGTAATTAGTGACGTTTAGCATACACTTCATCGCCTAGCTGTGAGTTGCTTAATCGCCATCGGCTATAAAAGGCTATAAGAAATTGTGTAGCCGGCTAAAGAAGCTACTGAAAATCTTACAGCTGGCCGTAGGTCTATGTTATTTTGGAACACAGATTCTACTGCCAATTTTTACCAGGGTCCGATTTTTGAGTGTATAATCAGAAGAAAAATTGGTGAAATTTACACAAGAAATGACAAAATATTGCCTGGTAAAAGCCTACAAAAGCCTATGCCTCCTCCTGTTGTGAAACGCTAGAGTTACTGTTTCGACTATTACGACAAATCAAAGCAAAATGTATGAATCGCAGACAATGACCAATCGCCGACAAATTGCAATCTATTTGTGTTGCATGAAAAGAATGTAGGAATTCAGAAGTGAAGCAACAATGAATTTAAACAAATGTTTTTTCCTTCTTGTCTGCATGGTACCAGCATGGAGAAATCAGTGTCCATACTCAGAGGTTACCATAGTGGGTTTGGATCGGGTAGGCAACTAAACTAACTGCTTGGCAAGGCGGAGAGTATCACCAGGTTCGAAGGCGTTCCAAGCCGTGGTCGTTCTTTTGTAGTTCTTTACCGGTGAAACCTTTGACTTTGAAAATCATGTTAATGCGAATTGTTGCAATTTGCCAATCAACTTATATCGACGGTGAAACTACCAAACCACGTATCTCGGTTTGCGACGTCGCAGACTTCCTGTCATACTTTATTTTTTAAATGAAAAACTACTTAACATCCAGTCTTGAAAATTTCTGTGATTTTTCCTCTTTGTGCGGAGAAAATTCCGTGAAAATTTCAAGGAATGATATTGATTTGGTCTACTTCAAAAAAATAAAATGTGAGCGTAGATTTTTAAACACCGCAAACGAGATACGTGGTTTGGTAGTTTCACCGTCGATATGCCGCTGGCAAATTTTCGGTAATTTCTAACAGCCTGTGACATAATACGGTAAAACATTATTAAGGTTAGCTCCCTGGCGGACAGAAATTAGTCATCCGTGTGTGCGAATCCAGCAGGTTGGCAACGATCGCAGCCCTCCGTTTAAACATGTGCTGAAAAATCGATTATTGTCGGAGCCGCAGTGGCGTAGCGTGCTTTGCGATATATCGATTGATTTGTTATTTAAACCGGAGGAAAAGGATCGATAAACAAGGTGTTCGCAACGGAAACCTTGATAACCGATTTTTCATCATAGCTACAAATGGAGAAATATCGATAATCGGTCTTTCACGCCTCGCCACCGGTCAGAGCACTTGGTTCCTCCAAAAATCGATTAATTTTCATGGATTTAAAGGGAGGAAAAGCAACGTAGC